ACCGGGCCGTCTCGGCCCAGTAACAGCCCGCGCGCGGCCCGCAACAAGTCTGCTACCTCAGCCCGCGTGTGGCCCAATTACGGCCCGCGTTTCTCACACCTATATAAGTGTTGGGCCAGCCCCTTTTGGGCCCAATTTCAGCATACCTGAGGCCCAATTGTGGGGCAATTCTTGGTCAGCAATTAAGCATGCGGCCCAATTGATTTTTGGGCAAAAATTTTGTGTTCCGAAATCCATTTTTCGTACCGATTTCAATTTTAAAAATACTTTTAAAATGATAAAATATTGGAAAAATAATTTTAAGTCCCGAAACTTCAATTTCAATTCTCCGAGTCTCATTTGTCTAAAATGAGAGAGTTCCAAGTCCACGAAAAATCCGATTAAAACCCGTAAGTCTTAATTTTTATTAAGTATGGGTTTTACGTTAAATTCGAGTAGTGAGATAAATTATTGATAAATTATCTCGCTCAAATGTAGGTGTTTGAGGAGTCGAGCTTCATCCTACGTACTTGCTTTTGTGTGCTATATTCTACCGCGATTTCCAGGTGGGTTTTGAAAAATTGTCTATGCTGTAAATGTTATTACCGTTATTATTGTTTACTTGTGGTATGATCAAAGTATGCATGTGGAACATGTAGCCTTCGATGTGAGCTATACCGGCCGTCGAACGGTTATCCCCGTAGCTATAGAACGTACCCGTTGGGTAGTCTCCTTTATTATTGTTGGCAGTCATGGCGTGAGCCTTGGCTGGTGATCCCCGTGTAAGGCCAAGGGCCATCGGGATGGATTTACTCCTACTGGCCGAGCACTCGATATGAGGCCAAGGGCCATTCGATATATAGCCGGCAGTAGTCTATTGATATAGGTGTGCACATGAGAGTGATTATTGATTATTGATTATTGATTGATGGGAGATTGGGATAGATTATTGCTTCGTATACATGTTGAGACCGTACCTTTTGATTATTGATTATTGTTTCATTATTGTAAATAACATTTATTGCATAGTGGTGAGCACTACTTTTCCTCTTGTGCTCATCCCCACCTGCTCGTCATGGATGCAGGTTAGTTTATGCGGACACGGCGGAGGGATGCGAGTGGTGGTCTTTTAAATTGACTAATGCTTCCGCCTGATAAACTAATTACTGTTATTACTGCTTTTGGATTTTTTGGATTATTGATAGGGAGTGTACTTCCTAAGACACTATTGATGATTGGATTGCTTGGAAAGTATTATGGATGATTGGGTTTTAATATTGATTAACAAGGAGTGATAAATGATTGAATATTGAGAATTTAATAAGTATTGAATATTTATTTGAGAATAAGTAGCGCCTCAAATATTGTTTTTGAAAATAAATTTCGAAAAATTTATCCTGAATTTTGGCAAATAAAAGTGGGGCGTTACATATGTATTATGAGATTATCAGACTTATGCATGTATAATGTCTTTATCTCCGTGGTACCTTTATATAACGGATTTGATTAGGTTGCATGGATTTATTTACGTCTGCATGAGAAAGAGTTTAAGTTAGTAGCATCCCGCAAGTTAGTATAAGTATTTTCGAAAATAAAGTTTAAGAGTTTTTCGAAAATAAAAAGCAAAAATTTTACCTTGATTTTATAAATTCTAGAAATAATTAGGCAGGGTGCTACAGTTGGTATCAGAGCCACTTTGTGGTTCTGTATACTTAAAAGAGTTTAGAAAAGCATGACCACGCCACGCTCACGCCGCGCCGACTCTGAGATAAGTCACCTAAGTTTTAAATTTCTGCAAGTGCTTGAGAATATAGTAAGAAACCTTAGGGGGCATCTATCCTCCGACTAGAAAGAGAACTCTAGACAGAATTATAAGAAAGTTTATATAAGTCCAACTCTAGACTATATCAGAATTCGAGCTAGAATCAGTAGAGTTAAGCAGAACCCGGAACTCTAGCCAACCTAGGTGTTTTCGGTAAATTACTTAAATTCGTCAAGTAGTGTAGCTATTTATTAATTGGCTATACTAATGAAGTTGTTATTTGGCTATTCAGAATGCCGCCCCGTAGAGCTCCACCCGCAGAGCGGGATCAGTCAGTAGTCGCAGCC